TGGAAAGTGCCTGATGGGGTGATGCCTCGCAGAGCTGTGGAAGTGAATCCCCACTGGAGACCCCAGAAAAGCAGTGGAACCAGCAACCTCAAACAGCCGCCACAGACAGCTGCAAGCAGTGTGACACACAAGCCTCTGAAAGCTGTGACCATTAGCCTGAAACCTTTGAGAGCAGCCACATCGATGGAGACCAACAGAGCATGGAGACTTCCAGCTAGATTTCAAAGAAATCTGGATCTGGATCTGTCCCAGGGGTGGCGATACTGCACAGAGTCCCCACAGGGACAAGGCAAAGCTGTAACCTGGGGAAGGAGCTGCTGAACAGAGCCCACTCCGGGGCAATACCTAGTGGAGCTGCAGGGGCAGCACTGCTGTTGAATCACCAGGGCTTCATAGCTACTGGCATGAAAATGCTAGCTTGGGAAAGCTGCAAACAGAAGACTCCAACCTGTGAGGACTGAAGTAGGGGTTAAGTCCAGGAAAGCCCCATAGGAAACAAGCTGCCCAGGCCTTGTGCCCAACCTGTCTCCTGTGAACAGGATGCTGGACTTGGACATTTGAGATTTAATGTTTGCCTTGCTTGGTTTTGCTTTTGTTTTGGACGGATTACTCTTTATCACTTCCCATTCCTTCCTTTTGGCATAGGAAGGTTTATCCTGTAATTTGTTTTGGTACTGTTTGCTCACAACTACATGCCTTTGAACTTTTGAGCCTATGATGGAAGGAACTAAGACTCTGGGATTATTAAATGGGATTGTATGTAAGAAGGACATGTGTTTGAGGAGTCAATGAAAGCTGGGAGTGGTTTGTGCCCTTGAGCTCATGCAGGTGTTTCCTCCTCTAAATTCTATGTCAATGGCAGTAAGAAGGTAGAATCAATCAGAATGGTGTCTAGCGATGGTTCTTTTGGAAATGATTAGTCCAGATTATTAGGGTAGAGACCTAATGAGGCAACCCTTGTGTCTTTATTAGGGGGAGGAAAGAAAGCAGGAGGGAGGAGAGCATATACATACAGAGATATATAGGGGCTCCTACCATGATGTGATATAGCCAGAACCAGTGTCATACTGTTTGAACTTGTAACTTCTAAGTGAGGTTAATAAACTTTTATAAAGTGGCTAGAAAAAAAAAGATTGGGGCTTGTTGTTCATTTCCACAGTTCTGTGCTGGGTTTTTGTCTGCCTAAGTTTGCATGGGTCTTGTGCATGCTGACACCATTGCTGTAGGTTTGTATGAGAAGGGTCCCAGGTGCCTGAAGGACTCTTTTCGTATGGTCATGCACCTCCTCCCTGGCTCTTACAGTCTTTCTGCCCCCTCTTCTGAAATGTTCCCTGAGCACTGGGTGTATGGACCTTAATATAGGAGACCTGTCCAAGGACCCACACTCGACAGACTCTTATTCTCTGTGTTTTGGCCATTTGTGCTCCCTGCCCTCTGTTACATGAGGGAGCTTCATTGACAAGAGTTGAAAGATGCCTGAGTGTTCTTTTTATCCCTTGTTCTATGTTCTTTGAGTCTTAGGTATAGAGGTTACATCCTAAATGTGCCACTTAGGCTTGGACAATTCACAGAGAATCTCTGTGTGTGACCAGTGATGTAACTCTGTAATAATCTCTGTTGAAAAAGAAGCTACTTTGATGGGTGGTGACTGGGATACTTGTCTGTAAATTTAAGGATCCATATATTTTTTTTTAAACATGGAGTATATGCAGGCTAGGAAAGTAGAAGTGGATCATTAGTGGAACAGATGCATTTAGGGAGGGAGGATAGAATACTGGTGAAATAAAAGAGGGACACTGGAGAGAGAAGGATCAAGCAACAGTGGCTTGATGGGGATGGGGAAATGAAGGGCCAAATGAAATATATATGAAGAAGCAACTTATGAACTTATGGTCTTGCAATTCAAGTGAAAAAATATAATGATGGGACAGCATAATGTATCTGATAATAAAGACCAAGGGGATACTATTGATAGCTATGGGTTTAAGTGGGGTTGAGGATGCAGTGGGGGAAAGGAAGAAAGGATGCAGGTTAACCCAAACTAAAGATGTTTGAAGAACCCTTACAAAACCCACTAGTTGTTTTTTTTTTTTTTGTCTTTTTGAGACAGGGTCTCTCTGTAGTCCCTGCTGACCTGAGCTCACTATGTAGACCAGGCTGGCCTTGAACTCATAGAGATCTGCCTGCCTTTGCCTCCCAAGTGCTGGGACTAAAGGCATGTGCCACCATGCCCGGCCGAAACCTACTAGTTTTAAGCTACATAATGAATATATAAAGATAAATACAGATATAGCATAGTGACCAATACTCACAGAATAAAATGGGGTTATTCAACGAGAATCTCAGTACCAGGCATGGGATACATCTCTATGAGTCATTAGTCAGGGAGGGTTCAGAGGACCCCAAAACACTACAGTCTATTGCCATTGTTCTTGGTTGTCCATTATAACTACATGGTAAGATTCTGTTGCTGAAGACATCACACAGTTTGGTTGCAGGGGACAGAGAAATCAATCTTTGAACATTTTTCAATTTATTTTTATGTGTATGAGTGTTTTATCTGCATGTATGTAAGTGCACTCATGCTGTGCAATGCCTGTGAGTACCAGAAGAGGTCATCAGATCCCCTGGCACTGGAGTTATAGACACTTGTTAGTGTCCATGTGGGTGCTGGGAACTGAACACAGGTCCTCTGCAAGAACAGCCAGTGCTCTTAACAGCTGAACCATCTCTCCAGCCCCAGCGAGAAATCAATCTTGAACTGATCAGGAAATTCTTCCTGCTGGCAAACTTTCATATCACTGGAAATTGGCATGCAGGCTTCTGGGGGGTAGAGAGAGACATCAATGGTCTTATACAGTGCTGGATACCAACCTGCCAGGAAAAATGTGCCCATAGAGAAACAGTGGCAAGACTATTCATGGGGATAACTAACTGCTCATTTGATTAGTTTTGAGGGCAGATCTACAGGAGGAATTTCATATTTTGTACTGTAAACATGGTTCAAATTTGTTGCTAGGGAAGTCATTGGCTCTAGAGGAGAACCTATTGATCTTGTTTTTCTAAATGATCATGTTGTCAAACTGCCTTCTAAATATTTGTTTATATCCATAAACTTGTGCTATTCACAATCTTAGTCAGAGCTTATTTTTAAAAATGGATTTTATTTTTATTTTTATGTGTACGTGTGTGTGTGTGTGTGTGTGTGTGTGTGTGTGTGTGTGCCTACATGAGTTTATGTTTACCACATGCATGCAGGGGCCATGGTTCAAATTTGTTGCTAGGGAAGTCATTGGCTCTAGAGGAGAACCTATTGATCTTGTTTTTCTAAATGATCATGTTGTCAAACTGCCTTCTAAATATTTGTTTATATCCATAAACTTGTGCTATTCACAATCTTAGTCAGAGCTTATTTTTAAAAATGGATTTTATTTTTATTTTTATGTGTACGTGTGTGTGTGTGTGTGTGTGTGTGTGTGTGTGTGTGTGTGTGCCCACAGAGGCCAGATTGAGGGTGTCAGATTCCTGGCAGTGGAACCACAGGTGGTTGTGAGCCACTGAACTTGGTTGCTGGAAACTGAACTTGGGTTCTTTGGAGGAGAAGAAGGTACTCTTAGCCACTGAGCCATCTCTCTAGCCCTCAGAGAAGCTTCTTATTGAAGTGAGTGGTGTTCCATGCTGGGTCTCAGTGTTCAAAGTGCTGAGAATAAGTGGCTGTGAGTGCTCATCTGTTGATGGGTCATCTATATCAACCCCTCCATCTGGTTCAGGGAATGTTGAGGAAGAGGAGGCAGGTAGAATGTAAGAGCTCAGGGATGGACAGGAATACTGTGAAATGCTGTCATCTGGACATTACATGGTTGTTCCACACATGAACTCACAGCAGCAGTGGTTATCTACACAGGCCTGCCCAAGAGCATGCCATTTAAAAATTCCACCCCAAGGCTCCACTCCCAGTGGAGGAGCTAATGGCAGTTGATGGCTGCTGGGGGAAGGAGAATCATTTTTCTTCACAAGTGTGGTCAGTAGTAGTTTTTCTATGTCCTAATGGATGACCCCATGCCATGCTCACATGGGTAGCACTAATTGAATTCAGTGGGTTAATAATAAATAAATGACTATAAAAGGATGACATGAAGTTGGGATGGAGATGAAATGGGGTCTCCTTAGAAGAGTTGGAGAAGGGGAGTTAAGGGAGAAACTGAAGATACACTGTATATATGAATGAATTTTAAAAGAACAAACAATAAAACTGAAACTAAAATGTATTAAATGAACAGGGGCTAGAGAGATGGTTCAGTGGCTAAGGGCATGGGTTGCTCTCCCAGAGGACCTGGATCTTGTTTCCAGCACTCAACACAGTGGCTACGACCATCTGTAACTCCAGTGCCACGGGATCTAGTGCTGTCTTCTGGCCTCCCCAGGCTTTGCACGACATGGGTGAACTTACATACATGTGGGCAAAATTCTCATACACATAAAAATAAATAAATTTAAAACCACAACAGGAAGTCAGATGATCTATATGGTGGACAGGTGAAGCAAGGAGCTCTGAGGGTACCCGAATGCAAATTAGATTGCTCATTTAAATTCTGTTCTGTTTCCCCACTCTCCAGTGTTCCAATTCTCTTCTAACTTCCACTGCATGCCTTAGGAAAAACAATTTTCTTTATAATGACCTCCAAAATTGAGCAAAAATGGCAGTGTTAATGCTTTACACATGCTATAATTCAGAGTCACTTGATGTTGAAACATCTGTCATGACATTGAAAGAAGGTATAAATCTAGTCCAACCATTGGGGCACATGCTTAGGGACCTTCAATTTCAACTCCAACTGTCGAGGATTTGTACGCCGTCATGATCATAAGAAAACTGTGGACAAACTCAAAATCACTGACTACAGCTGATTCATAGGAGAAGTGACTTTGCGGTACAAATGCAGCTTTTTAATCCAGAGAAGTGGAGAGAGTCAGAACTTTGATCTGCTTCTTTGCAGTGAAAGCCGCTGGAGGTGTGAGGAGGTGGGAACACCATGGTGCTGTGGATAAATTGCTGGATTTTTATGAGAGCAACTCCTGACAGCTACAGTATTGGTGACTCCCCCACCACTTGCGGAAATCCACCAGGTTCTCAAGGTGAAGAGTTGGGACAGTTGTTTCATGAACCAGAATGAAACATCACAGGGAAATATGTCCAGAGATTTTTCAGTAATAGCAGCTTACCCTCCAGGATAAATGATTTAAAATGTATCTTTTCCCAGAGCTGTGGGGGAAAGGCATTCTTCTAACTCTGTCCTTGAGAATTCCTATATCAAATTAGGGATTGGGATAAAATTGTAAGAACAAAGGTCTGTGAATGTTACAGAATAATGCATAGGTCCAATGAAAACCTGACATTGAACTGAAACATTTCAGAATGTCACCTGGCCACCATGACCACCACATCTATAAGGCTTCAGAAGAATAATGGACTAGAAGTTGAAAAAACAGTGTAACACTCAGGTTATCTTGGAGAAGGACTGCATAGCAGGTCCCCAAATCAAGAGGAAATCAGCTGTAGTGTAATTGGAAACCTGAGATACCTATATATAACTCCAGTAAATATCAAAGCCCAGCTTCTGGCCTTAAAAACATACACCCTCCCTAAACAGACCTAATTAACTCCCCAGTTCTTAGAACTCAAAAGCACATGGTCATCTCTTAAGAAGATGTCATAAGGCATATCAAAATGCAAAAAGAACTCAATATGAAGATAAAAACACATATCAAAACATAATTCTTATGTTCTAAGTCTTGTAATATCCTGTTGTAAACCTAAGTCTCAATTCCAACTGTTCATAAGCAATCCAATAGTAAATAAAATTGAATCTTGCCTACATGTTGGGCTAATCAAAAGTTTAAACAAAGTAAAACGAAAGAAACATAAGGGACAGGAAACATTAGACTTAGGAGCTAGAGGGAAGGTGAATACTTGAGAATGAGTTCCTCAGTTTCTGAGGTGATTTTTGAGGTGTCTGTTCCTCAGTAATTACAAAAGAACATTTCCCATGACAAATTATTTTGCCTGGTATTTTTTAGAACCTCTGCTACTCTGTTCCATGCCTGTACCATTAGGATAGGGAAGGGACACCAGAAGGGCAGACAATTTATTTTAATATAAGATAAAGGAACTGCTTTTCTGACCTCCCAGAGACTGGAAGGGCCATGTATGTAGGAGGTAATTAATTCAGCTTTCTCTCAACGTGTTGCAAACATAAAATGGCTTTGATAATAGGAAAGTAAAAGAATAAGAATATCTTTTCTTGCACATACAAAAATGTGCAAGCATCCATAAGAAATGTTCCAGGTGGAATATTTGAACCACATGTAGAGAAATCATAGCCAACCATCTTTTATATTTCATATTAAATATATTTAATTACAAAAATTAGTTAACAATAGAGTAGCAAATACTTCAATGCTGCATTATTCCTTGATGTCAAATGAGACAGGTTCCCTGAGTCACAAATTGCTCAGGCTTAGACTTTCTCCTGATCATGTGCGAAAAAGGAGAAGAAAGGCCTATAGGGAAATTGAAGGAGCCAGCAGGGTACTTCCATATGAGGGAATTCTTGGCTACATTCAGGAAACTCACACTTCTATCATCACAATCAAGGAGCACGCCAAACCAGCCTACTCGTATCTCTACATAGTGAAGAAATGATGGGGAAGTGGTCAGGAGGCTGCAATGGTCACCCTCCCTCACAAATATAAGAAACACATCCTTTAAGCCAGTTAGTGGGCCAAATTTTCTTAGCCAAGGATCTTTGCACACCCCTGAAGCCCAGTCCCATGGGTCATTTGCACCCAGCTCCCAGTAATATTTCCTGGAGGTGAAGCTCTGGGATCCCCAGTGAGCATAATAGCAACCTCAGTGGCCTGAGGTTGTTGTCTAAAGTTAAATCTTCTCACATCAGTAAATAGGCTCTTCTTGGACTGTACCATGATTACCTTTTCAAAGGTAATTTCTGCTGTGGAGAGAAAAAAATTTCACTTAAAATATATTTTTACAATTTAGATGAGAGATATACCTAGAGACACTGAATTTAAAAAAGAAGAATCCTGGGGCTGGAGAGATGGCTCAGGGGTTAAGAGCGCTGGCTGCTCTTGTAGAGGACCCAGGTTTGATTTCCAGCACCCACAGGGTATTTAAAAACTGTCTGTAACTCCAGTTCCAGGGGATCCAGCGTCCTCTTCGACCTGTGTTGTGCAATGCCCACAGAAGTCAGAAGAGGACACTGGATCACCTGGAACTGATAGACAGTTTTTAAACATCTTGTGGGTCCTGGGAATCGAACCTGGGTCCTCTACAGGTGCACCTTCCTACATGCAGGCAATACACTCATACACATAAAATAAAATAAATAAAGAGTCCAAGAGTAATGAGATACATCTACCAAGAGTATCTTACATTCAAGAATTTCTAGAAGAAATCATCTATGAGTTTGATGAAAAATTTTTTGAAAATTTGCAGATAAAGAGGAGGAAGCTTCACCCTACTTCTGCCTGGTGACTTTTAATTACAATGATAAACTGCAGCATTGCAACTAACGTCCAGACCATTGGTGGCTTCATGGCTCTCTTCATAAATAGTTATATCTAACATGTCAGTAATGATAATTTTCCCACTGGTGTTACGATTCCTATTTAATTAAGGATATTAGTAATTAAGAAGATAAAGCTAAATGTGCATTTTTAGAACAGTATCCTCAGTAGTAGTCGACTGTTGTTAACTCCTGGCTCCTCTGATAACTACTGTTTGTCAGGTTACAATTCAGTTTAAGTCTACCAGAGAAATCTAGACACTGCCTCATCTACCACTGTGTTTTACTTTTAGTGCTCATGATGTGTTGCTTTGTGCATTTAATTATGTCATGTTCATTTTTTTTTGAGACAAGGTACTGCAATAGAATTATGGCTAGCATAGAACTCAATATGTATAAATGATCCCTTCAAACTCATGGAAAATCTTCCTTTGTTTGCCTCCCCAATTCCGAGATTACAGATATTCAGTAGTATACCTGATTTTTCAAGACAGAGTTTCCCTTAGTCCCAGTTGCCCTGAAACTTGCTATGGAGACCACACTGGCCTCAATCTCACAGAAATCCAATTGCCTCTGCCTTCTGAGTGCTGGGATTAAAGGTGTGTGCTGCTACTCTTGGCTCATATATAATATACTTTGAAAATTCATTTGCTAATATGCTTAAGGGAAAATATTTATATAGAATACCATTACTAGGATTTCTGAATTTAAATTAGAATGTCATGAATTAGTTTATAATTCTGTATATCTCATTGTACAACGGATATAGTTTAGCCTGAATCACATAATCAGTGTACATCACAGTGACCAGATTAATAAATATTGCTACAGATACCGACTTCCCTGACATATATTCCTGTCAACTTAAAGATTAATGGGTGGGAAAGTTACCCTATTATTCAAGGGCATCCTCCATTCATGCCCCCAGTGCTAACACGAACCTTGGAAATGGTTGGATCTGTTGATCAGTCCTGGGCTGGGCACTAAGTGCTGGTTTCACCAGCTGGGGCATGAACAGCTTCTCTGACCCACTCTTACAAGGAAGGAGAAATTGGTTCACCTGGTACCAAAGATACCATGACAGTGGTTAGGGAAAAAAAATCACCCAGAGGTTGGCAAGATGGTTCAGTGAGTGCCATTACTTGCCCTGCAACCCTGAAATCCAAGTTCAGTATCTGAACCCCATAGTGTAAGGAGAAAATTCACTCCCCAAATTGTTCCTGACCTCTACACAAGGTCCTGAACTCCCACTCACCCCTCAACCACACATATCGTCATTATGATCATCTCTCAAAAAGCTGAGCATGTTTCATGTCTCTGGAAATGTTTTCCTGATATTGTAGGGAACCTCCATGATCAAGACACGGGATAGCTCCTTCCATATAGTCTTTTGACTTGTCTTCTTACCTGCTACACACACATTTCTCAATGCTACCTGCCTCTTCTCTACTACCTGAGAATACAGCCCATGGTTCTGACCCAATGTTTACAATATAAAACTAAAAATTTCAGCACCAAGTACCAAAACATATACTCCTTCAGTCACAGGTTTAAAGAAAGACAATTTCTGGAAAAGGGGACTAGAAATAATATTCATTAAAACATATGCAAACATGCTGGGCATGATGAGACAAGCCTTTCATCCCAGTGCTTGGGAGGCTGAAGCAGATGGATTTGTGTGAGAAGCAGACCAGCCTGGTCTACATAGTGAGTTCCAGGTCAGCCAGGGCTATACAGTAAAACACTGTCTCAAAAAAATACCCAAACACATGTGCACACAAACAACTGAGTATTGTTTACAAAATGTAACTTCAATTTGCTGAAACAGCTTGGTCTGTTTCATAGTTCTCATGGTACACTAGCTTGTACTGATGACTAAACTCACCTTGTCAGTATCTCTCCCAAATCCTGAAAAAAAGAGAAAATGTTAGATTTCTGATGAACTGCCATCCTATTAGGTTTGAAGTGCTTGTCCACGAGGGGGGCAGTATGACTTTATTAAGGGTAACTCAAAACCTTGACTTCAGCCCGGCACTGTGGCTCATGACAGTAATTCCAGCATTTGAAAAGCTGAGGCAGGAGGATTACTGTGAATTGGAACACACACTAGACCAGAGTATGAGACTTGTGTAAAAAACCCAACTTCCCAAATAATTGTCCAAAAAAGGCTCCCAAATCAAAGAAGGATTTAAATAGAGCTTTCCCCAAATTTCTTCATGATATCAAAGAGGCAAAAATGGAAGGCTTGCATATAAGCAACACTTAATTTCTGGCTTTTAGAGAGACAAGTTCCAAAATGAAAACCAATATAGAAATATTCTGGGTCACATTTGGGAGTATTTTCTCCTCCTCCACTTTAAACTCATTTAAGTTTAACTTATACTTCCTATCAGTATGATATATGGACCCTAAGTTCATAGCCCCACTTTTCAGAAAATTTATTCTTTGATTTCATTTATTTCCTGTTCATACAAAGAACCAAAGCCAACCTTTTGTCCAAACAGTTTCACCTATTTTATGAGTCCCTGAATTGTCTGATTTGCTAATTGTTTGATTGCTAATTTATCTGTTTACACAAATATGAAAACTTGCATTCAAGCAATGAAAATTCTTGGTGAAGTCATAAATTATAAAGTACACTATGTTGAGCTGTCAGCAAATCAGTAGTTAGTTTCAAATTTCTCTGCTCCTTACCCTGGCCGTTCACTCTGTCTTTAGAATTGGATTTTACATTCAGAATTAGAGGCTATCAGAAAAGATTTTTCTGTTATAGTATCCTATGGATGATCTTCAAGTCATAAACGGAAAAAAATTATAGAGGATATGAAGGATCAGGTCTGGTAAGGAGGAGGGATCTGAGAGGAAATGGGAGAAGGGTCTGAATTTGATCAAAGCACACTGTGTGATATTATCAAAGAATCAAGAAAATATTTTTTAAAGAAAGAAAGAAACAAACAAAAAAAGTTTTCTCATGTTCTGACCAACTATGACTGCATGTATTTGGTATTTGGGCCATTCAATTCAATTAAGCTTATATTGATTGCTAATTTATCTGTTTACACAAATATGAAAACTTGCATTCAAGCAATGAAAATTCTTGGTGAAGTCATAAATTATAAAGTACACTATGCTGAGCTGTCAGCAAATCAGTAGTTAGTTTCAAATTTCTCTGCTCCTTACCCTGGCCGTTCACTCTGTCTTTAGAATTGGATTTTACATTCAGAATTAGAGGCTATCAGAAAAGATTTTTCTGTTATAGTATCCTATGGATGATCTTCAAGTCATAAACGGAAAAAAATTATAGAGGATATGAAGGATCAGGTCTGGTAAGGAGGAGGGATCTGAGAGGAAATGGGAGAAGGGTCTGAATTTGATCAAAGCACACTGTGTGATATTATCAAAGAATCAAGAAAATATTTTTTAAAGAAAGAAAGAAACAAACAAAAAAAGTTTTCTCATGTTCTGACCAACTATGACTGCATGTATTTGGTATTTGGGCCATTCAATTCAATTAAGCTTATATTGATCTTAATGTTTTATGAATATACTTTGATATTACTGGAAATAAAATGTATAAATTCATATAAATCTCATTGATGATTTTCTTTCAGAGTTTTAAATGATTGGTCTTTCCTCTCTAACTATAGAAGTATAAGTTTTAATACCAACTCATGAACAACATTGTGGTTGTCACTTGCATATCTGTAATTTATACTTGGAGAGTTTAAAGGGTAACTTTGTATGTTAAATTTAATTAATGTATTTGATTTTGCTATAAAAGCAATTCTCTGTGTTTGTGCCTTGATGTAATCTGGAATACATGAAGAATCTCCTATTTGAAATGTATAAAAAATAAATGCATGAGTTACTGAATCATCAAAGTTGTTTCACATCTGAAAATTTTTGTCTTCTTGTGGCAGCTTTCCATATCTGCTTGTCTTCATATTTTTCAAATACTGTGATTTAAAAAACCTATGATTACAATTTAATGCATACTAAACTATTAAAACATTAGTAAAATGGTTTCCAAAATGTCTGTCCGAAGCAGATTCCAAGTATCAGAGCCTCATACTCACCATCCATGAGGTGATTATTCTATTCACTTCATTTAGATTATTCTGATTTTCCTGGACCTTGTCCCATAAGTTTCTCATTTGATTTAGAAGTTTCTTCTGTAATAAACAATAAATATTAATCCCAGAGAAATAGAACCAGGTTTCAGATTCATATTGATAGACAGGATCATGAATCATGGGACATTAGTTAAAATTACTTTAGGGAGAGTGGACACTCATGTTTCAGAGCACAGAACTACAAAATTCAATGTAATTTCTGCTCACAGAAAATGATAGCCTGGCTAATTTTCACATGGTGTGGCAATTTGTCTGATATTGGATTCCAGATAGCTCTCCACCCTCCCCTGCTAACTCCAATGACCATTTCCCAATTTGTTTTCCAGTGTTGGTTAAACACATATCCTCTTTGGGCACCTATTTCACTTTCCAGTGACTTGAGCATTATGATGTATAATTAAAATAGGAGTGAGCATTAAACTTTTCAGTTTCCCAAGGGACGTAAGCTCTGTGAAGCCAAGGGTACTTCCACACTGCATTCAGAGCTTCTTCATTAGCTCCTCATACAGTGCCTACCACTCAGAAAATAATAGGTTGATTGTCATGATAAGTGTCTTCCCTGTGGTCTGATTGAGGATCTAGCTCTCGCCTGCTCTCAGAGGCACCACTTACTCTCTGTTCCTCAACAGCTGCTGCAATAGGACAGTGTCTGTGACCTTAATGCTCCTTGGAGTTGGAACAGGATTGGCAGAGCACGATCCTGCCCTCTTGACAGAAGATACTCTTTGTCTCCTTGTGGGTAACACATAAGATTTTCCTCAGAGCTCAGGTACTACTTGAGTCTCCCTTCTCTGGCAATGGACACCAGCTTCTTCAGAACATTTGATCTGAGGTCCTTCTGGTAGGATGGTTCCTTACACATAGGGCAATGGGCAGGAGGTTGAACGCCCTTCTAGGAAAGGTAGAGACAGGACCGACAGAAGCTGTGTCCACAGCTGATGGTGACTGGGTCTGTAAGGTAGTTCATGCAGATGAAGCAGCTGAGTTTTTTTCTGAAAGTCTTGTGAGATGTCTGACTCCATTTTTTTCTGACTTAAGAAAAACCGCATTGCTTATTATTCTACCCCAGAGACAAAAGACTGCACAAAATTTAAGTTGTTATTAACTTTTGTCTAGGTTAAAACAGGCTTCATTTAGTAACTCCTTCTGATTCTTTATAATACATAGGAACCACTAAGGAGGGCATAAATAATAAACCTAAAATGAATCCTCATTTAATTCCAAAATATAAACCAATACAAGAGGACCAAATGGGAATAGAACAATTTTGGCTACATAGGGAAACATCATTTCCTTTCCTAGATGTTTGCTAGTAAATTTAAGAGGAAAGTTTGTTTTTGTACATTGTCTACTCACCTAAGGATTGTGGCTCTGGCCTCACCAATTATTGCTGGAGAAGTAATAATACTAGTTATCCTCAAGGATAAGGCCCTCAAGGTGTGTGTTTAGCAATATTCTGAGTCAGAAGGGTTGGAAACACACTCTGGTCTGGAGAAGAGTCAACCTGGAACCTGTCCTTATGTTGTATCTGAAGACCACACCCATTTCCTCCAATGACTGAATTTTCTACGTTTTCCAGCAGGTGGGATCTGTCC